ATCAAGTGTATGTATTCATAGCATTAAGGATCACTCAGGGTAGGCATAAGATGAATGTTAAGTCCAGTTGAGCCAGACTAGGGTACTGTAAGACTAAGTGTGGAGCAGGGTTTGAAGGTCCTACTATTTACGTCTGTGAGCGTGTAGCGAACCTAACCCCAACAGATATCATATGAAAATACATGAGAACAATGATCGGGAAAAAGGGATAAATGTATCAGAACTATGTGAGGTGTTGACAGTGATCTAGAAACTATACTGGAAAGGAAATATCGTGTATGCGTCGGTATGAATTTAATACACCTCGTAGCCTCACGTGACATATACCCACGACAGGTACAGTGATCAGAGAATCTGAGGTCTGTGTTCAAATCGTGCGCTGTGTGAGAGGAGGACCCCTCATTACAGTTTTTAAGTGAAGTTGATACACCCCCGCCATGATCATTCGGCTTTTGTTTCAAGGCGCGTCATGTACCCGCCTCAGATGCCCGTTGATATTAAAATCCCAGGCATTTAACCAAGCACTAGCAAACCAAGACCTGACCTTAGTGTATAAGTTAGGATTAATATATGTGTTTATAAGAAATGAAGGACAATATACCGTAAAGTGTTCAGGGGAGAACCATAAGAAACAAAAATGTAAATTGAGGATTGGAAACTGTAGGCCTATGTGACGAGAAGCGGCGGGAAGCCGGCCTTAGTCTTTCCCGTTCTGCCGTCAACACAGGTCAGTGTCCTAGCGGGCTATATCCCGCCATACAATTAAGGTTGATAAATAACAGTGACTACAGTTTAAAGCTTTGCCGGATATATAAGTGTGATAGGGATGTGTTAAGGGATGGGATAACCGCCCGTCAGGCATTATTGCTTAGTCTTTCCCGTTCTGCCGTCAACACAGGTGCCACGTGGTTGGGGTATCTTGCCGCCCGGCCGCCATTGTCTCCTGGAGCGCCACACCAGGTGGGGAATTACTCCCCACTATACCAGTCCACTATGAACCGGTGGATTCCCAGCGCACCACTCCACTATGAACCGGTGGATTCCCAGCGCACCACTCCACATGAATAGTCACAACTAAGGAGACCGTGAGAAACTGCGGTCGTCACTTGGAGCGACCTATAATACCAGGCGTAGAAATAGTGCTGGTATGTCTCTAGGTCAAGCCCTCGTCCTTACCCACCGAGGGCGGTGTGCGAACGAGGGGCCCGTTGTGTAGACCTAAAAGTCACAAGGAGTCACATACTTGCAGGTATGGAGTGTAACAGGTGTGTTGCGATGGTGCTACTATGTATGATAACCGACGGTGCTACAAGCCACACCAGTGGCACAGTCTGATGTGTTAAGGGATATTGTAAGAAGGAACGACCGAGATACGGCGTTCACCGATTGTTGTGCAATAAGTGGGTGGATGACCCGCCAGTAATGTAGGAGTCTGGGGCCCAGTTGGGTAACCAAAATTCCGTTGTTCTTCTGAGGAAGGCCAGTTCATGTATGTTTTTTTTACCAGTGTGTTTTATAAGAAATAAATCAATGAAGACATGTTATGGTTTCACCCTTCTTTACCCTTATCGATCTGATCAATGGAAAACCTAACCCAATGCCTAGTTCACTCTGCCCGCTACCTAACGAGCTACATGCTGTCCAGAGGGGGTCTGGTGGCAGCGACCCTTAGAAATTAAGATTAGAGTTAAGTTATCCCCTTAGATTTAGTGACCCCAGATCTGGCAGTATAATATATATATATATATATATATATATATATATATATATATATATATATATATATATATATATATATATATATATATATATATATATATATATATATATATATATATATATATATATATATATTGGCATGTCAGTTTTATGCCATTACTTATATTACAGGTATGTACATATATCACAACATTAGTAAAGTTTAAGCTGAAACTGCTCTTAAATATTTTTTCCTTTTTTAATAAATATTTATTTAGGAACTAAGTTTTACAGGGTTAGTATGAAATAATAACATAGTACAGGTTGTACCTCTCTAGTCCGGCATTCTGTGGTCCGGAAACTCCTGTGGTCCGGAACGATTTTAGTTTGTCCAATAGGTAGATAGGCAGCTTCTTTTTTTTCTTTTTTCTTTTTTTCTGAATTATTATTATAATTATTATTATTACAGGAGTATTAAAGTTTTGCCCCTCAGGCCCCAATGTGGGTCAGTGACCTATGCCCAGGTGGGCTAATCCCCTTAAAAAAAAAAAAAACACAGCCGCGGGAAATTAAGGTTTGTTTACATCCGGCAGTTCGGCTGCTCTCTCCCTCTCTCTCTCTGTTTGTCTATACAGAGTACAACATTTAACCCTTCAATATATATGAGCAGTAAATAAGTGTTGCTTTCATATTCTTATGTAGAGTAATGACGATATGTTTTCACATGTGCGCACTTACATACGCGCAGTCTCACTTTTTTTTACCATTAATGGTTAGCTACTTATATTGTTCCATTTATTAACATTAAATAACATTACAGGTACTTCAAACAACCATATTAATTTTTTTACATTAATTTTACTACAGCTAAAATCAGGGTCTTATTTTCTTCAGTTTTATATGTAGAACCAATCAGTCACTGGTTTTGTAAGCTTTAACATAAACAATGCCGGCAGCCGTCTCGTCTCCTCTAATATTCCACGTATTATTAATAAATTGTATTGTTAATTTTGCACACACAAACATTAATTCAATAAAAACAAATTCAGAAACATTAATTAAAATATATATGAACAGTAAATAAATGTTGCTTTCATATTCGTATGTAAAATAATGACGATATTTTTTCACGTGTGCGCATGCGCAGTTACATACGCGATCTCTCTTTTTTCTTTACCATTATCGTTAGCTACTTCTATTGTTCCATTTATTAACATTAAATAACATTACTTAAAACGACCATATTAATTTTACTACAGCTACAGCCAAGGTCTTATTTTCTTCAGTTTTATATGTAGAACCAGTCAGTCACTGGTTTTGTAATCAACGAAAACAATGCTGTGTCATTTCCTCGTGTGTTTTAATATTCTACGTATTATTAATGAATTGTATTGCTCATTTTGCACACAAACATTAATTCAATAAAAAAGACATTCAGTAAAAAAACAATAATGAATCTTTTGTACATAAGGGAAATGACGCTATTTACACGATTATGCATGTCGTCTGCACATTGGCGGGCCGTTCAAACCCGTCGAAATTCAAGTTTCTGCCGTCAAAATTTTAATTTATTTATTTTTTGTGTGTTCCATTAAAATACGTTAAGAATTAAAAACTCGCGAAATTTGAGAAGCTACTATACGACATTTAACCCTTCAATATGTCTTCAAAGAGACCATGCTGCAGAGAAAGTGGTGCTAGTGCTTCCAAGCATAAGCACAAGTCACTATCTATCCAGGAAAAGGGTGAATTTCCATGGTCCGGCAATTTCCATGGTCCGGCACCGGTCAGGTCCCGAGGTTGCCGGACTAGAGAGGTACAACCTGTACCAGTCACACTACCTCCTTGCACACCACTTTATTCCTTGCCATTTTTGAAGGGATCTTTGCTGATACATTTGTTTCTGTTATAATGTAAACCCAGGGAGGGAGAATAAAAAAAATACAAGTGCTAGATTAAGAATAGAAAATTTGAACTCTTTGTAGTAAGTGCCATAGTCTTGTCAGGAATATTCCCTAAGGGAGGCTGAGAAGTAAACTATTAATACAGTAATAGTATATAAATTGAAGCAACATAACCTAAACTAACCGAGCCCTCAAACCTCCTGTCATAACATTGAGTTGGTCTTGCTTGGTATGGTTGGGTGATGTAGTTTGCTGATGTTAATGGTTCAGTCAGGGGGCGCTGGTGGTAGAGCGGTACCGCTCTTGCCTCACAAGCAAGATGTCACAGGTTCGATTCCCAGGCCGGCGGAAGTTGTTTGGACACTCTTCCTAGCCCCCTTGGTCTCTGTTCACCTAGCAGTAAGTAGGTACTGTACCTGTTGTAAATTGAAAAGTTGCAAATTCGTATTCAGGGAGTTGTTGGAGCTTCCAATAACTTAATGACATAAGCCATCGACTCTTCAGGCTTCTACGCCCTTGACTCTTCAGGCTTCTACGCCCTTGACTCTTCAGGCTTCTACGCCCTTGACTCTTCAGGCTTCTATGCCCTTGACTCTTCAGGCTTCTACGCCCGTAACTCATGAGACATAAAGGCAAGCATGAACTTAGCATGCTTCCCTGTTGGGCGCTGTAAATGCTTCTGCGCTTTACCTTGCACAGGATGTAGGGGGATGTCCAATAAAACAAAACAAAAAAATGGTTCAGTCCCACAGCTTTTCTGAATTTTTTTTTAAGATCAACACTTAGTACTGAAATCTGTTATCTTAATTTATCCTCTTCACTACTGATTGGCATTCTAGCTGCTTCCAGGTATGAACACTCAACTGAGTAATGTCCTCTGAGGTGTTTATAAACTTCTATTAAGTCACCCATTGCCCATTTATAGTATAAGCTAGGCAATTGCAAGGATTTTAATCTCTCTAGGTACCCGAGATGACCTTCCTTTCGACGTTTTCATTCAACTGACAATTTCTAGCATACCAGGTATCTCGGGGACCAGCCAGGGTGACAGTACTGTACAGTAATATTCCATTGAAAGCTCAGGATGCATTCCTAGAGAAGAGATTTCAGTGAATCAGCTTTCAGTGGGGTCATTATAATGTAGGTACTTAATATGGAGATACTGTCTTGGTAGTAAAAATAACTTCTTTTTTTTGCATATTTTCACTATTACTAATGAATATTTTTCATAGATTCTAAGTTTTCACTTGCAAACCAAAGGCTGTTGCATTTTTTATTCTTTTATCTGAGTTTTCATAAATCAAATCCTTTTAATTTGGGGTCTGCCTGTGCTGTACAGTACTTGTTCAGTTCAATTGTGTCTATACACCAAATTTCCTGCACCTTTTGTGATGGTATAGTGTTATCCACCTGTTATGTTTGTGTTGTCTGTGTGATGCCTTATGTTTTATAATCTGCATGAAGAATCTCTTTACTCTGAGGACCAACCTCTTATTTTACCTAAAGAATAACCACCCTAACACTATTTGGGGGATGAGGTTAGATTAGGTTAGGTTAGTATTAGGTAAGGTTACCATTAGGTTAGGATAAGATAGGTTAGGTTAGGGAGGTTAATCTTTAGGTGCAGTAAGTTGGGATGGAGATTCTTCAGGTGATTCAATTTCAGTGGATTGTATGATACATTATTTCACAAAAGTTTAATAGTGCATAAGATTGGTGGTCATACTGTTGGGGTCAAGATGTATGAACTAAGTAACTTGCAGTCGGTCTGTATTGAGGTTTACATACCACTTGGACAATTCTCAAATAGATGATTTTTTTTATATACCCAAACCCAGACTAATTACACCTAACCTAACTTAATCAAACCCAACACAGCCTAACCCAACCAAACCAAACTTAACCCCTTCAGATAATGTTAGGTTGTTTAATCTTCTGGTGAAATAAGCTGGGGAAGGTCAAATCTTCAGGTGATCTCTTTTTTCTTTTAATGAGGTACTATACAGTTTACCAATATAAGATTTACCTTAGTGAACTTAATAAAATCCTGATAACCATATTGTAGTTAATAACACAATTTTACCTCTTATACTTACAGAGGAGGAACTTGGTGGCACTGAAGGCATGGGGCAACTGGTCAAGATGGACGTATTCAAGAATATGAACATTGGTCTTGCTCTTGATGAAGGCTATGCCAACACTTCTGACAAAATGGAATTGTTCTATGGTCAAAGAACTCCCTTTCGTAAGTTCAGCAATAGTTTCTTCAAATTTTTATTTTGGCTTTATTTACATTGCAGTTATGTTTATGGTGACATGTAATATTTATTTTTGTTATATACAGGGGGTCCCCGGGTTACAAACAGGTCAAAAATGTACGTAAGTTGAAACACATATCCTTATATGCATCTAAAATCACTTAATTTAAGATAAAAGAAGAAATAGAATGACAAAATACAGTAAATGAAAGTAAAAAATAAGTCATCAGGTGAATAAAATACTATAAATTTAAAGTTTACCCTCGTTCGTATCGGTGGGCATTCCTAAGTCGGACGTTCGTAAGTTGGGGACCCCCTGTATACTGTCTTTTATTTATTTATCATTTTACCACTTACCAGCTTACTAGCCATCTGGGCAGTCAGTTTGTTACTTTGTCATGAACTTTATTGTTTAAGGGTAGTACCCAGAGAAAGCCTGTGATGTTTGGCAGGGGATCGAACCTGAGACTCTAGTGGTGAGAGGCAAGTGTACTACCGCTGTACCATGAATAGCTGTTAGTTTACTATCTAGATGGTAATGCACACTAGAATTAAACAACAAACCAGTGAAGCTAATCTACCCTATCGTGACTTAACCTAACTTAACCTGGTGTGTAAAAAAGAAATCACCATCCACCTAACCTACTAGTAAGTTGACAAGAGGCAAAATGGGTATACTATTGAGTATATTACCCTGCATCTCTTTTAATGCCCAAGAGATGACAGAAGGAGCTGTAATGCAGGAGTCTGACTGGACAATTATGACAGGTTGTGCACTATAGGAAAATTAGAGGTCTCTGTTTTTCTTTATTATTTTTTTCCCCAAGCAATATACATCAGAATCCAAGGGCAGCCAGGCCATGGATCACAGTTCATCCCCAACAACGCTGGGGAGAAGCTGCGGCTTGTCATCAACTCTGTCCTTGGCTACCGCAATGAACAAGAGCGGAAGTTGAGGGAGAATCCTGAACTACACCTTGGTGATGTGACTACTGTTAATCTGACTGTAGTAGAAGTGAGGATAATAATCTTACTGTAGTGGAGGTGAGGGATAATAATCTTAATGTAGTGGAGGTGAAGGATAATAATCTTACTGTAGTGGAGGTGAGGATAATAATCTTACTGTAGTGGAGGTGAGGATAATAATCTTACTGTAGTGGAGGTGAGGGATAATAATCTCACTTGCAGAATAACATTGCTTATTGTTGTCCATATGCCCATTGTAGCAGCCACCGAGCACTGTGTATGTATGTGTTCCGATCATTGTACCAAAAGGTACTCCCTGGTGGTCTGTCTCTTCTAGGTAACTTGAGAACCTCCTTGACAATCAAATTCTACTCCCATCTCTACTTTTCCCTTGATCAAAATATTCTAGGATCCAGTCATGAATATTTTTCATCTCTCTTTGCAGGGAGGAGTACAAACGAATGTCTTGCCTGCAGAAATAAAAGTTACAATTGATGCACGTGTTGCCCCATCAGATGTAGGTACTTTTGAGGCAAAGCTCCAAGGGTGGTTGAAGGCAGCTGGGGACGGTATCACTTATGAAGCACGGGAACTGGTCAGTGATTTCACTTTCATTTTATAAAATTTTATGCAATTCTAAAATTTTTGATACAGTAAAGCCTTGAATAACGATGGTAATGTGTCTTCCAATATTGTGGTGTAAGGTGAATCGTCGTATCGTGAATCATTAATTACCATTAAAATAAACCAATAATAATGAGATACGTTCCCTAGTGTGACCTTTTCATATATTTTGTGGATGTTTTTACCCTTTATTCCTCTAAAACAGTAAAATTTATGAAAAATAAAAACTATATTCTTAAATAATGTTTAGGAATGCACCTTGTACAATATGAATCAATAATAATATGTAGTTTAGGAATGCACCTTGTACAATATAAATCAATAATAATATGTAGTCACACAAGAGGAGACAGGATGCCATTGTTGTTGTCAGTGTTTACCCGGTACACCCATGACAATGGTTCTCCATCTGAAACTGAAGAATACAAAACCCTGGTTGTTGCTGTAGTAAAATTAATGTAAAAAAAAAATATGTATGGTTTAATTAATGTTATTTAATGAACAGTGCAAGTAACCACTGATGGTAAAGAAAAAAAAGTGAGACTTATAGTGTAAGGCCAACGTGTGTACTCGTGGAAACAAAGCGTCGTTTCTCTTATTACAAATATGTACAAAAGATTCATAATTATTTATTACTGAATGTCTATTTGATTGAAATAATGTTTATATATGTAAAATGAACAGTAATACAGGTTGACAACCCTTTATCGAAAATTCCGAAAACCAAAAAGCTCTGAAAACCGAAAGTTTTTTGTGGAGCATTTTTTTTTAAACAGGGATTAGCTTACCCAGGCATATATCACTGACCCACATCAGGGCCTGGGGGGGCGAAAATGTAATAGTAATACAGTGAACCCTCACTTTACGTGGTCAATTGAACCCACGTAGGCCCGCGTAAAGCGAGAAACGCGTAAAGTGAACAACATAACATATGGGATTAAATGAAATAGAGACCAGCTGACCCCCAAACTCCACTTTTTCCGACACAATACCTATGTTCTAGTAAAAATAACATCTTAATTTTATGATGGTACATTCACACAATTAATATTTAAGAGAAATAGAGAAATACAGTCGCCAAGTTAATGGACTCAACTCCCTCCCCCTCTGGCTCTTCCCTCTCTGAGAAATGTTTGGGGGAAAACCACTAGATTTTAAGGTATAGTAATAAATAATACCTCAAACTAAAGTTAGGATAATATAATTGACATTGCTGGATTCCTTGTAAGACCAGGAATATTTTGAATATAAATGTCATATATTTTGCACAAAAGATAACATATTTACTCAGAGTTAACAAAATACTTACATTAGATCTAAAATTTGTATGTCTAATGCAAAATCTATTATGTTTATATTCAAAATGATCATCAAATTGTAAGAATTCCAGCAATGTAAATTATATTCTGGCCGGGAAATTTGTATGAATTTTATGAGCTAAAACAAATATCTTCAGTTAATAAAAAAAAAAATATTCTTCACAACACTATCTGTCAATCAAAACACCCTACCTTGCCTTCCCCCTCTTCCAACCTCGCCAGATGGTCGGTCGGTCCCTCCCTCCCCCCTCCCCCCACCAACTCTCTCTACCAGAGAAATGTTTGGGAGAAACCTGAATATTTACCTTTTTAGTAATAAATAATACCTCAGACTAAAGTTAGGATAATATAATTATTCATAGTAAATACAAATTTTAATGAAAAATACACCAAAATAAAATAATAATAATAATAATAATAAAAATAATAACAATAATACTGCATTAATAAAATGATAATACAGTGAACCCTCGCTTTACGAGGTTTCACTTTACGCGTTTCTACATTTACGCGGTACCCTGCCAGAACCGGAATTCCCACATTACGCAGTGCATCTACTCATAAACGCGGGTGAAGTATAATTTTTTTATTTAGCTCATAAAATTCATACAAATTATCCGGCCAGAATATAATTTCATTGCTGGAATTCTTACAATTTGATGATCATTTTGAATATAAGCATCATAGATTTTGCATTAGACATACAAATTTTAGATCTAATGCAAGTATTTTGTTTACTCAGAGCAAATATGTTATCTTTTGTGCAAAATATATGACATTTATATTCAAAATACCGGGTCTTCCTGGTCTTACAAGGAATCCAGCAATGTCAATTATATTATCCTAACTTTAGTTTGAGGTATTATTTATTACTATACCTTAAAATCTAGTGGTTTCCCCCAAACATTTCTCAGAGGGGGAAGAGCCAACAGTGTGAGAAGAGGGGGAGGGAGTTGAGTCCATTATTTGAATGGACATTAACTTGGCGACTGTATTTCTCTATTTCTCTTAAGTATTAATTGTGTGCATGTACCATCATAAAATTAAGATGTTATTTTTACGAGAACATAGGTATTGTGTCGGAAAAAGTGGAGTTTGGGGGGTGAGCCGGTCTCTATTTCATTTAATCCCATATGTTATGTTGTTCGCTTTACGCGGGCCTCCGTGGGTTCAATTGACCGCCTAAAGTGAGGGTTCACTGTAATAATAATAATAATAATAATAATAATAAAGAAATACAAGAATGAAAAAAGATAAAAAGTGAGAAACACGGCCTAGACCTATGAATTATTGTTATTATTATAATTATTAAAATTATTATTATTATTATAATATTATCGCCTCCCAGGCCCCAATGTGGGTCATTGACTTGTGCCTGGGTGGGCTAATATTAAAAAAAAAAAAAAAAAAAACATTCTGAAAACCGAAAAATTCCGAAATGCCTCTGGCCCCAAGGATTTCGGATAAGAGATTGTCAACCTGTATTCATAAATAATAAGTAGAATATTAAAACACACAAGAGGAGACAAGAAGGCATTATTTTTGTAAGTGTTTACACCCATGACGATGGTTCTCCATATGAAGCTGAAGAAAATAAGACCCTGGTTGTAGTTGTAGTAAAAGAAATGTAAAAAAAAAAATATGCTTTAATTACAGTAATGTTATTTAATGTAAATGGCACAATACTGTAGAAGTAACCACTGATGGTCAAGAAAAGTGAGACATTGCACAAGGCCAACATATATATACGTCTGCACATGTGAAAACATAGTGTTATTTCTGTACATAATCTGAAAGCTACACATTACTGTTCATATATATTTTAATTAATGCTTATGAGTGTAAAACAAAAGTTCTACTCGCCAATCATTAAACAATGCTTGGGCTTTTGTTTGAATAATTACAGTGCTCAGTGGAGTATGCTTCTGATTTTTTACTTCAATCCATATACTTAAAGGTCTCTCCTTTTCTTCCATAATCCCACTCCTGCTTTGGCAAACTTTATTTCCACTTAACGGAATTGTAGACTGAGCAGTTTCTTTAATTTTTTCTTCATTCTTACGGATAGTTTTTACTGTTGATTCTTCCATCCCCAAAGTATGTGCGTGAGATATCCACAGACCTCTCACCTCGTGTAGAATAGGGGCACAAAAATGCCGTAAGATACCCGAGAAAGTTTCTCTCCTGTTCCTGTTCAGGTACGTGATAATAAAATGCCTGCTAAGCTGCGACTGTTTATGTTAGTGATGCTGGCGTCACCACTCACCAGCCCGGTAGCATCCGTGCTCTAGGTGTGGTTTTTTTTATAATGCATATCAGGATTTAGTTTTTATTTATTATGAAAATGTAATTTAATCTTATTTTATATTCAATTTTATCGTAAATACGAATAAAATAACGGTGTAAATTGAATTGGGTCCTAAATTCACCAGGGTTTTAAATATGAATCGTTGTTAGTAGAATCATCGTAATTTGAGGCTTTGCTGTATAGTAGTTTGTTTATAAAGAAGAATATGTATTGAATAACTATTTTTATTAGATTCATCGTGTATAGAGACAATGCAGGTATACAATGCACATAGACAATGCAGTTATAAAAAAATATACAGTACCTGTATATATAGTGTAGATATAAAAATAATGGTTATAAAATTTGGAAAGAAAATTAGCATTATTCAGAACTTGTTTGACTCCTAGCCTAACCCCTTACCGGTATGTACAATGTCACTTCTGAGCCAAATAAAATAATAAAAGTGATGTCCCCTATAGTGAAGGGATTGAGGATTTATTTCGTTATTACCATTATTTTTGTTTCCTTTTCAGTGCGTGTTGAAGGAACAGACGTGTGTGGATGACGGCAAAAACCCCTGGTGGGACGCCTTCTCTGCTGCTTGCAAAAAAGAGTGATTATTTACACTTCACTTCAGATTTTTATTTTTAATTTATCATTTCCATCAGTTGTCAGCTTACTAGCCAGTTGGGCGATGGGTTGATTCTCTGTTACGACCTTCATTGTCCAGTGTTAGTCCAGGTGTCATGGAGGTCAGGAGAATCATGGTGGCAGGAATCTGAGAAATATATTTCAATGGATACTGAATCCTAAATCTGATCATACAACAACTTGTTCCACACATCACATAGGACATGTCAGGCATATGGTTTCTGCCATATCGGATTGCTGTTAAACTTGGCTTCAATACAGGAAATAGCTATAAATGACATATTGAGGACAGTCATAATTATTTTTTAGAACTGAACCTGAACTTTAGGAAATATTGCCTTGTCATTGTATTTTAAGAACATAAATTCTTTCTGATCAAAGTGATGATTTAACACCCAAATGCATTGGTGGAGATTTGCTGTGAATGAAGGGGGGAAAATGATTTCTGAGACTTGTAGAAATGCATCTCTGAACATAATCACAACAATATACATGTTTTCCATAATTAGAAAAGCATAATGCTTTTTACAGAATTAGTTTCATCGTTTCTTACCTTATAATCTGAAGTCTTCCGGGCAGTGAAGTAAATCCACAAGTTTACACTATGATGTGTCTCCTAAAACTGACCTATGACACCAACATTATTGTCTCAACCCTTGTGACTGGAAGCAGGTTGACCTCGACATCACTAGCTGTCACATCTCAATGGAGAATACAGAAGTATTTATGATGACCAGAGTTAACTAGTGTTGCTAACATACATTGTCAAATGATTAGTGGAGGAATACAACATAAATTCTGGAATGCAGAGCGTTTTGAATGCAGTGTGCAAAAAATTTCTTATCTCCTGGGATCAAGTATGGGATGTGTACACTATGCCAAGATAAGTTATTTCTTTAGCTAGGAATGAACATTTGCTCTTGTTGAGCCTGACATTGTGTGCCAACAATCTTTCGAATACTGTGGCTAGGGTTTTGACATGATTTTGGATGTCACTGTCAACAATAAGGACATCATCCTGAAAACATAACACATTGGGAAGACCCACAAGAATTTTGTCCATGATGCACTGAAATAACTTTGGTGCACTTTTAACACCATAAGGCAACCTTTTGAACTTATACAATCCTTTATGAGTGTTGATGGTAAGGTACTGTTGACTTTCAGCATCAACAGAGACCTGAGCATATGCTTGGGACAAGTCTAACTTAGTGAAAATGGTTCCACCTGTTAGTGCAGCAAACAAATCTTGAGATGTGGGTAAGGAATATTGCTCATCCTCAGCAGCTTGTTTAATGGTAACTTTATAATCACCACATAGTCTAACAGATTTATCAGCTTTAGGTACAATTA